TTGGGTTGTTGTGGTTTGGTGGGTGGTGAACCTTCTCCTTTCTGGGCTGCTCTTTCCGTCGCGCTTTCTCCTCCGCGACTCGCTGGATGACGTCCCAGGGCACGCTCCGCGCAGCGATTCGATTCGCGAGCGGAATGATTATTGCAGGCAATTTTGTGCAACTCTGGCAGGCTTCAACCGCTCTTCAAGCGATGACAATAAGTGTTCGTTCGAATCGTTGGCTGGGTTGCTTGCCCTCCAGCAAGTCCGCGCGCAGCGACGCGTAGAAGGGTGGCAATGCTCGGGGCGGCGATCTTTCAATAGCATCTCGGGCAACTGTGCGTCGCAATGATAGTGCAGGCCTGGCGTGTCGGAAGGCGGGCCCCTCCAGCGTCGCCATTCTTCCGGGGAGTAGGTGCCCAACTGAGGGACTGTCCTGGACCGAACGACTGAGGAGCATTATGTGGCCGCGCGGGGCCCTGCAAATATCCCGACTGCTGCTTTGCAGCTGATGCCTGCGAGCTCTGAACGTCAGCAGGCGCGGCCCGGATCATGGCCCTCGGGGTTTCTACAGGATGTATTGCCCGGCTGGCACAATTGCCTCGCTTGGTACAGTAGCGGCATCCCTCTGGCCACGGGCCGCAGCTGTGGCTTGCCTCTAAACCTGCGTGCTCTCTGCATTGCCGATCATTATTCGTGCTTGTAGGTAGCTCGCAGGGCCACAGGGCAATCATTCCATGATCGGCATTCGCCTCGGCAGCTTCCGCCTCTCGCACCTTCGCCAGCAACGCAGATCGCTGGGGTGGCCTGGAATCCCGAGCGTCCATCCCGAACAGATGCCAGCTCACGATCCTGGGCCGCCAGCTCTGGCTGCACCTCTGACGTCACCGCCTGCTCAGCCACCAGCGCTCCTTTCTGAGCGTTCTGGTCGCCGTGGACAGCCAACGTCTCGAACTGTGACATCGGAACTGCAGCGCTCGATGTGAGCATGGATTTCCATGCCTCCTCCACTATCGGCAAGCTTCTCTCTTTGATAACGGAACATCGCGTTCGTGCGCTTCAAGCTTTATTCGAGCTCCGCACGCATGGTCATGTATGTATACGGGCCGATGTACACATACATCTGTATATGTACATGTTTGCCATGATCCTACCTCCCACCCGCAACTTGTTCGGCAACGCCCACTCGGCCATGATTACGGTTGAGGATGGGCCCTGGCGGGCGCATCTCTGCGGCAGTGCTGGCGCGCGCAAACTCTCGCGCAGAGCGGCCAACTGGTTTAGCAAACGGCTGCGGCCGAATTCGCGCTTGCCGGTGGGAACGTCCTACCGCGTCTCAGAGGCCGCGCTTGCGTTGAAGCACTTCAGTGCGGGTCGGTGATTCGGGCGAGCGTGATATCATGACGACGTCGACAACGGAGGCAACGATCATGATAATAACGATTGTCGTGGCGATGATGACGATGACGGCGGCAAGGCCTATGACGGCGCCGACGCTGGTGACGACGATGACGATGATGATGCTGTCCATGCGTTGCAAGTACCGTGCGGCGACACGACAATGGGGTCTAGATATTTCTAAACTCGCACGGCTATCACGATATTGCAGCAAATGCGCGCGGGCAGCACATCTGCTGCGAGATTTGCTATGACAATCGTCAAGGTGTCTGGTGTTTGTAGGTCGGACTGTCTGCAGAAGTGGTGTGCGTGGTCTGACCCCGGCATGTGCGCACCTGTGGACTTTGTGCATTGTTTCCCAAGCATCCTGTGGTGTTGGGTCCTCGCTTTGAAGAGACAGCGCCCCGCGTCTCACTCCTTCCTCCTCACTCTCCTCCTCCTTCCCCTCCTCCTTCTCCTCCTCCCTCTCCTCCTCCTCCTCCCCCTCCTCCTCCTCCTCCTCTCCACCTCCTCCCCCTCCTCCTCCTCCTCCTCCTCCTCCTCCTCCTCCTCCTCCTCCTCCTCCTCCCCACCCTCCTCCTCCTCCTCCTCCTCCTCCTCCTCCTCAGCCTACATCATCACCATGTCGGAACACCCCTCACACGCTTCGTGTCTCCATCGGGAGCTCCACCGAAGGCCCCAGTGGGGGGGCTCCACATGCGCCTCCCCCACCCAGAACAGCGTCTCGTGGCCCAGAGGGAGCCCCACCGAAGGCCCCAATGGGCAAGGTCCACGTGCGCCTCCCCACTCAGCTCAGCGCTTCGTGGCTCAGAGGGAGCTCCACCGAAGGCCCCATTGGCAGGGTCCGCATGCATTCACCCCACCCACTACCGCGTTGCGTGTCCTCATAGGGAGCTCCACCGAAGGCCCCAGTGGCAGGGTACAAATGCGTCTCCCTCGCTCAGTACAACGATTCGCGATCCATAGGGAGCTCCACCGAAAGCCCCAATGGTAAGGTCCACATGCGTCTCCCCGCTCCATTTCGGTACACCCCTCACACGCTTCGTGTCCTCATAGGGAGCCCCACCGAAGACCCCAGTGGCAGGGTCCACATGCGTCTCCCCGCCTCATGTGGGCACACCCCTCACACGGTTCGTGTCTCCATATGAAGCTCCACCGAAGGCCCCGGTGGGAGGGTCTTCGGCGCAACCCTTGCACGCCTCGTGCTCCCATACGGAGCCCGACCCAAGGCCCCAGTGGCAAGGTCCACATGCGCTTCCCCGCGCCCCATGTCGGCACACGCCTCACACGTTTCGTGCTCCCATAGGGAGTTCTACCGAATGCCCCAGTGGGAGGGTCTTCTCCCCGCCCTATTTCGGCACACCCCTCATACGCTTCAAGGCCCCAAAGGGAGCTCCACCGAAGTCCCCAATCAGGGGGTCCACATGTATGCTCCCGCCACATTTCGGCACATCCTGCACACGTTTCGTGCCCCCATAGGGAGCTCCACCAAAGGCCGCAATGGCAAGGCCCACATGCGTTTGCCCGACCAAATCCGGCACACCCCTTACACGCTTCGTGGACCCATAGGGAGCTCCACCGAAGACGACTCATTTCGCTAGCCACACATCCATCTGGCTGTGTCCTTCGCCAAGATAGTTGGCAAGGAATTCTTATCGATGATGATCCCAACACCAATAGTGCACGCGAGTTGTAGCATATCACAAGGATGCGATACCCGGCTGGCTGGGACATGTGACTTCAAACGGAAGATGCGCGATGCGTCACCATCACGTGCGCATTACAGTGCGAACACATCATAACTCTGGGTGGTGGTGGTGGCGGAATCCATCTTCTTGTGACTTGATAGTGCATGTGGTGTGGGCCATGTAGTGTCAGGGGGGCGTAAGACCCGGGTACAGGGGACTCGGAAATCCCCGACGAGGTCATCAAAAAAATGACGAGGCCGAGCCTGCATTTTGACGAGGCCTCCCGCTGCAGACATCCCACGAAACTCCTCCTCGTCAAAATCCGAGGCGCGGTCGTCAAAAAACGATGGCGAACCCGAGTCCTGGCAAACCCGGGTCTTACGCTCCCCCGATAGTGTACGCGCGGTGCGCCCACGAGTCGCCCGCGGGCGGCAGTGCGGCGAACCTTGGGCGGACCCTCCCAGCGCACGGGGCGCCCACGAGGCGCCCCGCGGGCGGCAGCGTGCCGCGCAGCGAGGCCTCGGCGGACCCGCCCCCGTGCACCGGGGGCGCTCGCGAGGGGGGCCGCGGGCGGCACCGTGGCGAGGCCTCGGGGGACCCGCGTTCAGCGCACGGGGGCGCCCACGAGGGCGCCCCGCGGGCGGCAGCTCTGCGGCACGGGCTCGCCGAGCGCACGGAGCGCCCACGAGGCGCCCAGGGCGTCGGGTGTATATACCCCAGGGCCGTGGTCTTCTGCTTGCACGATGCAGCTCTCGCGCGCCGAGGTTGACACCGACGGTGCAAGAGTACCGTCGGGGCCGGTTGGAGAGGACACGCGAGAGGACACAAGACCCGTCCGAGGGCCACGCTGCCACGGGAATGCAGGAGGCCCGGGTCGCGAAGCGCAGGGTACGAGGGTGCGCTTGATCTGGTAGGGTCGACCCACCATTCAACCTCGACTGTACCTCTTGAAGCTGCGACATCCGAACCCTACTCCCGCCAGCCATCGATTCTCCTGAATCGATGGGGGGCGGGGGTCAGGGTTCGGATTCCGCCGCCGATCCTAGTCCTCATCATGGTCCTGTGCCACGTTCCCCTGCTCCTGCTTCTGATCTGCTTCCCGCTCATACCCTGTTCCTTCTGCTGCTGCTGCTATCTCTTCTGCTGGCCTTGCTCCGTATCGTCGGCCTGCTCCTCCTGCGCTGCACGACCACAGCGCTGCAGACCAAGCCTTGATAGCCAATGAGTCCGTGCCTGCACGATGGGGCAATCTGATCGTGTAGTCTGGAAAGGTCGTGCCCATCGACCTAGCACCGAACAGACTTCACTGCCACAATCCGAGTAGGGGATCGACTACAGCATTGATGTACTCCAAGGTCGAAGTCTTCGTCCAATCTACAAGACATGCTGAGACGATCCGTCGATGTAAGGCGCCTTCTACGGTTTTTGCTGTTCGCAGATTTTCGGGGGCGCGCAAGCATGGATTAGCGATCCATGGATTTGGCGTGAGGTCGCCAAGTCCATGGATCGGCGGGGGGGTGCTCTCCCCAAAATGCGGCCGCTGCCGCCTCGTTCGGCGGCGGACATCCGCGATTTCCCGTGGAAGCGGGACCAGTCGCCAATCCACCTCCCCTTGCTCCATGCCTGCGATCGCCCGAGATCTGCCGGGCACATCGATCTTGGGGCAGCTCGATGCCGTAGTCGATCTCCGACTCGAACAATTCGGCGGTGGACAAACCTCCCTTTAGTAGACCTCCCCTTGGTGAAAAACGTCCTGGGACCGAAACCGACGGACCTGGACCCGCAAACATGACGGCCGCGACGCCCTCTCGCGAACCGAAAACGGCCAATTCCTTAACCGACGTCCGAGCAACCGACCTGCGAGCCATCGAAACATCCAAAAGCTGGCATCCGGGCCGAGCAACAGGAAGCCGAGCGGGGGGAGCCGGGCGGCGCCTTTCTTCACGGCGGTGGGCGGCACGCGGCGCGCCCCCTGCCCTCGCCGGCGTGCTCTCTCCGCGCGGCGTGCGCTCTCCGCGGGCGGGGCGGGTTCTTTTTTTTGCCGCGGGGGCGCCCCGCGGGCGCCCCGGGGCAGGCGGGGCGGGCCGGGGGAGGGCAGGCGAGAGGGCGGAAGACCTCGGGGGACCCGCCCAGCGCACGGGGCGCCCACGATGGCGCCCCGCGGGCGGCAGCTCTGCGGCACGGGCCCACCGAGCGCACGGAGCGCCCACGAGGCGCCCAGGGCGTCGGATGTATATACCCCAAGGCCGTGGTCTTTTGCTTGCACGAAACAGCTCTCGCGCCGAGGTTGACACCGGCAGTGCAAGAGTACAGGCGGGGCCGGTTGGGGAGGACACGCGCGAGGACACAAGACCCGGCCGAGGGCCACGTTGCCACGGGAATGCAGGAGGCCCGGGTCGCGAAGCGCAGGGCACGAAGGGTACGCTTGATCTGGCAGGGTCGCCCCACCATGCAGCCTCGACTGTATCCTCGCCGGCCTCGAACAGGTTGAGGACACCTTGCGCTGAGAAGAGGACCTTCACTACAAGCGCTCTCTCAAACCACAGCCCAGGTTCGCAGATGCGAACGTTCTACGAAGAGAGAAGGAGTTCCAAGAACACGCCCAGGGTCCAGTCCAGAGTCTTGATTTTCTGGAGCGAGATCTATAGTCCTCGAAAAATGACGCCTGTTCTTAAGATGTCTGATGGGCGTGCTATCTCTGCACAGGGCCCACCGCGCGAAAAAAATAGCATCGCCGCGCGCAACGCGCAGACATCGCGGTTGGTACAGATGCACATGCGTATCTTCCGGACGTGTTGCACACGTCTGCGATGAAAACTGCACGATGGAAGAAAACGTCTATCGAATAATTACCCTGACCAACCCTGTGGTCAACCCTTGGGTAAACGCTGCAGTCAAAACTACAGTCGAACCTCCAGAACCCTCCAGGCAAGCCCCTCCATGGTTAGGACCATGTTGTTCACCCCGCCGCAAGGAGCAGCGCGCGAAAGCAAAGCAGGCTATATAATGTGTATTGCGACTATTTCTGGCATTGGCACTGGTGATGTTACTTGTGGTGATTCAGCGAAAGCAGGGATTGCTGCTGACGTTGCTGGTGATGCTGACGATGACTGTGGTACTGGGCCCAGTGACGGCGCTGGTGCTGGCGATGGCTCTGACGCTGGTGATGTCGATGGCACCGGGTCCCCACCTTTGTGGCAGGGTGGACAAGAGACCCTGGTGGACAAGCCCTGGATCCCAGGGCGCTCCTTGGGCCCAGATTCCATCCTGAGTCGTTTTGCTGATGCGAGTGCAAAGAATATACGCCACCATCACCACCACCTTCATCCACCCTCTCCTCCTCCTCCTCCTCCTCCTCCTCCTCCTCCTCCTCCTCCTCCAGCCTCTATGGCAACTGTCTTCGCGCTTCTCTCTCCGCGAAGCTCGAAGCGCGATTCTCTTCGCACTTTCGCGCCGTCCCCCCCCGCCGGAACAGGATGAGGGACTCGCGCTTCGCCCTGACATCGCCCAGGCCGCGGAGCGCGACCGCTACGAACTTCGCGCCCTCGTGCTGGCGCCAGCCTCTTCTTCCTCTCCTCTTCCCTGGGAGAGCGAGGGGGTGAGGGAGGCGGGGGTGGTGGTGTATATTTTTGTTGGGCCTCGTACAATGGAGGCCAGTCCACAAGAAGCCTTCCACAAGAAACCCAACCCTGAGACCCCAGGACGTCCATTGATCTGTGGTGTGGGAACGTCACGCCTTCCACAACCATCGAAACCCAAGAAACCCACCCTGGAGGCAAGCAGGGTGTTTCTCGGCATGGGCCTCCACTGTCTCTTTTTTTGGGCCCATAATTTAAGGTCCTGGAGCCCGGGGAGGGCCACGGGAGCCTGACGCCCGCGAAGAATCCTCCTGCAACGCTCCAACCCAAACGTGCAGCGCGCCTCCTCCTGCCCTGCCAAAGGCCAACGCGTCCCACGACGGGGCGAGATATGTCCCGCAATTTTCTGGGCTCGTGCGCCAGTCGGGCGGGTGGTAAGGGGCGGTGACCTCATTGGGGGGGTGAAGAAAGGGCCCCGAATGGGCCTTACAGGGTTCCTTTAGGGCCCTTTGCTTCGCCCTCCTATTCAGGTCACCCCCGTTCCTACCCACCCGAACCAGAACAACGCCAGTCTTTCTGCCCGGTATCCTCGCAAGGGCGAGTGGAATTGGGGACGGGTCGAACGACGGGGTAAGCTTCAAGCGTCGCGCTGCGCGTGCGGGCGGGTTGACCAGGACACTGCGCCCGTCATGTTCCATGGGATGCGGCTGAATTCACTTCATGGTTATCCATCAGCGCAGAATTCACAAACATATCACTGACATCGTAGAACGCCTTGCGAAATTTCTCTCGGATGCGGCAGCGATTTGGTCGTGGCGTAGGGTCAGACATGAACTGTGCATGATTAACCTTGTAAGCCTGATGAACGTGGTACGTCTGACTTGATGATGAACACCGTGGCGAGCAACGGAGACAAACCCAGCATAGGTGCAAACCAGCCGAAGACACATTCAGGTAATCAGCGCACAAGCCACACATCACTCTGCGAGCTGGTCGGCCTGGAATGCCCTCCCCCCCCAATGCAGGGCCTGCACGACCACATCGTCGGAGAAGAACCAGCACTGAGTGGCGAAGGAGACGGCGAAGCACGAGAGGGCGCTAAGGAACTCCTGTTATGAGTGTGAACATTGGGTTTAGGTGGGCACTTGCTCACGGGGGGGGGCGTGAATATCGAGTTGGAATCTGCGATACATAGCCCATAGATCGGCGAGAGGCCCCGATAGCGAAGCCACACGGTCCTGGGCGTGGCGGGCTATCGGGCCTCTATCGGCGATCAATGCGTGGTTTGGGGTCGATGCATCCCCCCCCGAACCCATCCACCCCTAACGTTGCCCCTGATGGAAAGCTCACGGCGGCTTCGGCAGGTCCCCTGAGCTGCTTGTGTGGTGTCCCGCCTGCTGCGCCTGCACCTGCGAAATCCCCCCCCCCCCCCCCCCCTCTCTCCATCTACGCCCCCCTCTGGTACAACCGCCTCTCGTGTTCGTGCTCTTCGTCGATGCGTCTCTCTTTCTCTCTTTCTGTCTCTCTCTCTCTTTTCCTCTCACTCTCTCTCTCTCTCTCTTTATCTCCTTATCTCCTTTACCTTCCCTTAATGTTGCGCGCTCGCTCTCTCTCTCTCTCTCTCTCTCTCTCTCTCTCTATATATATATATATATCCCTCCCTCGCTCCCTTCAACCTGTCTTCATGCATTCCTAGCTCCCTCCTTCTCTCTCTCTCTCACACTCTCTGGGTCTGCCTGTCTGTCGTTCAATGTGTGTGTGTGTGTGTGTGTGTGTGTGTGTGTGTGCGCCTCTCTCTCTCTCTCTTATTTTTGTTTATTTGTCGGTTTCTCTCTCCCTCTCTCCCTCATTATCAGAATCTCTGTGTATACCCTTACCTCTCTTCCCATGGCTTCCTGCCACATGCATGCGCATCCGTGCAGACGTGGGCAACCCACTCAATGACAGATCTACGTCTTCAAGCCGTCACAGCACGGCTATTGAGCAGTCTCTTGAGTCTGTCAGTAGCCCTACCACCTACACTGTCCACACGAGCTTGCATCATACACGAGTGGGCAACGTATGGCTCCATCGACCAAACCAGCGCGGCCACCCAGCTGATGATGAATATGTCTTGCCAAGCAGGTGTGATGTTCCTGGGGGGGGGGGGGGGCAACTGGATAACCATATTGCTAAGCCACCGTTGATACAAAGGGATGGTGAGAACAAGGCTAGGATGTCTCGCCCGCTTACCATCTAAAGCACTGTGACCTTGCTGGGTGCAGGGGAGCATGAGGTAGGAAGGCTCTTCAAGAAACACGCGTCCGACTACGAATCGATTACCCCAGGCTGTAATGCTGGCTGCAATTCTGTGCGAGACCACGAATATATACCAATGCTCAATTCACCAATCCATTCTCCAGACCCCAATCTGTTTCAATCGGTTGCATGCCTCAGTGCTTTTCCTTCGGACTCTTCAAACGCAACATATCCATAACCATCGTTGTTCGAATCCGATGTCACGCTCTTTCGAGGCCGCGTGGTGCGGGGAAGGGGCGTGGTATGCCTTTCTTTTTAAGGTACCAGAGGGGGGATGGATGCGAAAAGGGGGAAATGGAATGGGAGGGGAAAGGAGGGGGACAGAGAAACTGCCATCAACCAGAAAGGGTCCCGAGGGAAACGGGTCATGGCTACCCTGGGGCCTCCCCTGGATCGGGCTGGGCATCCTCGATGTTGTTCTGACGATCCCTGGGCCCGTAAAAGAAGCACGGAGGGCACAACCAAACTCAGAAAAACAGCAAGGCCCCTCCACTCCACGATGCTTGATCTTCATGGCGAGGAGTGCATAGGGGGAAGGCGAACGCTGAGAGGAGGCGAGGGTCAACCCGCAGGCGTCCCACGGCCCGCCCCGCCGTTTGCGTCCGACCGCGCCGCCAAGCGCCGCCGCAAGCTCCGACCGAAAAACCGGGCGGCTGGCACAGTCCCCCGCGCAGCTGCCCCGATGCGCAACGCACAGCACGTCCTGTCGACCCGCACCAGAAGGGTGCACGGTAAGGATGCAAGGGCCTTGGGCCTTGGAAAGCCATCTCGAAGCTTTTCGAGCGGGGCGCGGCCCACGAACGTGGCCAAGGATGGACCGAGGAGGGAAGGATGCAAGGGTACCCTTGGGAAGGTTGCCCATCCTTGCCGTGCGTGCCGACCGTAGCGTGCTGACAAGGAGCTCAGCACGTAGACGGAGCACGCAGGTCTGGCGCGACACTTTCGCCAAAGCGTGGACCAACAGGTGCCGAGCCAGCGTTGGAGCACGGGCGTGCCAGGGTCAGCCGAGGTCCTCCGTTCCACCTGGTGCAGCCCACCTGGCTCTTCGCGCCCAAGCGCTGCCACACTCAGTGGAAGTGCTGGCCCCCGCGGGGCTGCTCCCTGGTGCTCCGACCGGGGACCCGCAGGTAACGAGCCCACCTCACATCAGTAACTCTCCTCTTCTGGTGCGGGGCACCAACGCGCTGAACGAACTCGGCATATCGCTCCCGTTCGTGTCGAGGACGCTGGTGCCCCCCTGGGCGGCAGCTTCAATTCTCTTTAAAGCATGACCCCTGTCACTGTCTCCCCTAGCGAACTCGATCCAGTGAGCAAGCTGACCTGACTGGGGCACTTAGGACTTCAGCTGAAAATGGACGCACAGAGTGCTACTCGCCCAGCCAGTATGCCCTACCCTGTGGGCATGATGGATAGGGTTCCTGGTAGAAGCGGGTCCTGTAACCCTGGCGGTTTTCCCAGAACCGTCTTTCCATACTGAGCCGAATTTGACGGTCATGCACTACCCTTGAAAAGTAATGCAACTCTCGTGTGCGGTCCGTCTCCTCGGGCGGGTGGTAATGGGAGTGACCTACTACATACGGGGTGAAGAAAAGGACCGCTAAGGGGCACTTTAGGGCCCCTTGTGGATCCAGCTGGGACTCAGAAGGGGCCCTGAAGGACCCATTTGGGGCTTTTTTCCCCAAACAGCTTGCTGAACGGGGTGCTGTTGTGATAAAAGCTAACTCCTGCCGAGGGAAGTCGGAGCAGAGACATCCTCACAAAAATTTGATGGTCCGGGCCGTTTCGCTTGAGACATCCTCACAACTCTCGTTTCTGAGCTGGCCGGGATTGGCCGTTTCGCCTGAGACATCCTCGAAAAGTTGCGCTCCGGGACGCCGCGCGAGAGGTGGTCTGGGCCGTTTCGCTTGCGACATCCTCGAAACTCTGAGCCCCGAGGTGCCGTGCGAGAGGTGGTCCGGGCCGTTTCGCCAGAGACATCCTCGAAACTCTGAGCTCTGAGATGCCTTGCGCGAGGTGGTCCGGCCCGTTTCGCCTGAGACATCCTTGAAACTCTAACCTCGGAGATGCCGCGCGAGAGGTGGTCCGGCCCGTTTCGCCTGAGACATCCTCGAACTTCTGAGCTCTGAGATGCCTTGCGCGAGGTGGTCCGGCCCGTCTCGCCTGAGACATCCTCGCAACTCTGAGCTCTGAGATGCCGTGCACAAGGTGGTCCGGCCCGTTTCGCACAAGACATTCTCGCAACTCTGAGCTGTCAGATGCTGCGCAAGAGGTGGTCCAGCCTGGGGGCCCAGAAGACCACATGTGACATATCCCCCCTGTGACCCTGGGAGCCCCAGGAGGCCCCAGAGAGCTTCAGGAGGCCGCAGGACGCCCAGGACAGGCCCCAGGGGTCCGCAGGAGATTCCCAGGAGGCTCCCATGAGGCCCCAGGAGGCCTCCTTATCAGAACGTGTCAAGTCAATACTAATCCGGTGTCGATTCGTTGATTTTTCCTGCTCTTGTGGCCCCCCCCATTTTGGGTGGCCCCGACGGCCACATGTTAGATATCCCCCCCTGGGAGCCCCAAGAGGCTTCAGGAAGCCCCAGGTGGGGTCCAGGAGGCCACAGGAGGCCCAGGAGGAAGCCCCAGGAGGTCACCAGGAGGTCCCACGAGGCCCCAGGAGGCACCCGCAACTCGGAGCTCTGAGACGCCGCGCTCGAGGTGGTCCGGCCCGTTTCGCCTGCGACTTCCTCGCAGCACGTTTCGCCCGAGACATCGTCGCAACTCTGGGGTCCGAAATGCCGCGTGCGAGGTGGTCCAGCTCGTTACGCTGGAGACATCCTCGCAACTCTGGGCTCCGAGATGCCGTTCGGGATGAAGAGGAGGTGGAGGAGGAGGAGGAGGAGGAGGAGGAGGAGGAGGCATGTTTTAACATGCCATGCTAGCCCGCACTGGACGGGCACGCAATCGACCTTGGAAACCGCAATGGGTCTAAAAACCCTGTTTTGGGATACTGCACTCCGGCTATAATTTCTTCACCCCCCCATAGGTCACTCCCCATTACCACCCGCCCGATCTCCTCGTGCCCTTCAATATCTCAATGTTCGCGCGGTAGTGCCGCGCGATATCCGATTCTGTCCACCGTCGGCCGCGGCTGGCGCTTCACCTGAGATCGGGGGCCCAGGATGGCCCAGAGCTCGTGCAGCAACCTGTTATGCTACTCTTCCAGGGGCCCTCTCCCTCAGGACCCTTTTCTTGGCGGCGAGCGCGAGGGGGAAGTGAGAAGGGGCGGACCTTCTCAGAAGGCTCGGAAGTCCCCCGGCCTTCTCAGAAGTTTTCTAAGCTTTCCCCGAAGATGCAGAACACTTCTCAGAAGGCGCGAGGGCTTCTGAAAAGTCCCGTGGCCTTCTGAGAAGGCCTTCTCCTTCTCATTTCCCCCCCTCGCTTGCCGCCGATTTCTCTTCACGGCGAAACCTTCCGCCTGTCTTATTTTTCACGGCACGAGCCACCAACGTGATGCTTCCAACCTCGAGCACTGCACATCGCCGCAGCCGTGCTGCGCCGCAACGTGAGACAGAGGAGCGGACGGGATGGCGCTGGACCTCTCGGCGCCACGCGCTGCCTCAAGCAGAAAGCCAAGGTACAAGGCCGCAGGGAAGACACAACGAGGTTAGGAGGCCACAAAATGGCAAGAGGCCCTGTCTTGGACGCCCGAGTTATCCGGGGTAACTCGGGTCCGGGGTAACTCGGGTTTGGGTTCCCGAGAAACGAACCCGAGTTAGCCCTGACCCGAGTTACCCCTGATGATTTTGGGGCTCTGGACGCCCGAAATGTCCGGGGTAACTCGGGTCCGGGGTAACTCGGGTTCGGAATCCCGAAAAAGGAACCCGAGTTAGCCCTGACCCGAGTTACCCCTGATGATTGTGGGGCTCTGGACGCCCGAAATATCCGGGGTAACTCGGGTCCGGGGCAACTCGGGTTCGGAATCCCGAAAAAGGAACCCGAGCTATCCCTGACCCGAGTTACCCCTGATGATTTTGGGGCTCTGACCTGTCTCAGGGCGGACGGCAAACAGACGGGCAACACATGGGCGGGGTGGCGGATGCCGGTCTTCCTGGCGCCGACCGGCGCCCGAGGCGGCCGGTGGCGGGGCCGGTGGCGGGGCCGAAGCCAGCTGCAGGCAGCTCCCGATCCTCAACCTTAGGTCGGGCATGTTCTCCTACAGGCAGATTTCGAAAGACAGATAAAACATAGTCCAGCAACACTCGCTGCAGGAAAGTACTAATACGAAAGATCTTCACCAAGCCATTTTTGGCTCTTCCTGAGTTGTACCCCTACAGAGGGACACGCCCGACTTAAGCTGGACCCTTCCATCCCACCAGACTGCCGACCCCGTGCGGGTCCTGCCGGCCAGGACGCAGTCGAAGCCGGGGATCATGAGCAGCATCACCAGCATCCTGGGAGCGTGCAGAGCGCGGAGAGGGGAGAGCGTGGAGGAGGTGAGAGGGTGAACCTGTGGGGGTGGCAGCCATGCGAGGCATCGTCTTCTGCCATCGCAGCTTCGAGGTAGCGTGTGCTGGCGGATGCTGCAGGCTGCTGGGCCCGCGGCCTACTTTGAGGCAGAGACGGTTGACACCACCAACATCCTCAGGGCCATGCCGCGCTGCGTGCGGCTCGGGGGGGGGGCCCAGCACGTCGCGGGGGACGTGCAGCTCGACGAGCTCGTCGCACTTCGGTTCGGACGGCTGTGCTCCATCGGACAAGTGGCCGGCTCTGGACACCTGGCCATTGCTCGGGCGCCCATTCCCCGTGCATTAGTTCGGCTTCGTGCGTGCTTTTTTGCCGGATGGTCCAGGATTGAGAAAGATAACTATCGTGTTGGGAGGGGGGGGTTGGGAATCTACAGGGCGCGACTGCGGAATACGCCCATTCAACATACGCGATGAAAGGCATGATCCGATGATTTCTCTCAGCCCCATCCCCCTAACCCGATAATGATCTTTCTGAAGGGTGCTCCTCGATGCCCTCGCCGTGGAAAAAATGCACACGTCCGAGCGATGTTGAGAACCCTTGGGCCTAAAGATGCAGACGTGCCGCTCTCACTTGTCGACGATTCGCCGGCAGAGCCGCCGCCGTTTTTCTCCCTCCGCTGGAGTCCGCGTTGGCCTTCCGCATCCCAGACCCGCCGAGCGCGCCAGCCGGGCTAAGATGGCCCAGAGAGACCCCGCGATGGTTCCAAGACGCCTCCAAGATGGCCAAGGTGGCAGACGACCAAAGATGCCCTCCAGACAGCCCAAGAGGCCTCCAAGACACCCCAGGAGGGCTCCAAGAGGACCTCCAGGAAGCCAAAATCATTGATTCCCCTTACGTCTTTGCAGGATTTTAGCGCTCTCCTTTTCGGGCTCCCGACGCTCCAAAACGGCCCCATAGGCCCCCAAGATCGCCCCGAGACGGCCTAAGAGGGCCCAAAGAGGCTCGCAGGACGGCCCAAGAGTGCCCCAAGACGCCCCTAGGAGGAGGCCGCCAAGACGGCCTCAGTGACCTCCAAGACGGCGCGAAAGCGCCCAAGAGGGACCCACAACTGTCCAGAGCTGGCCCCAAGACGGCCTCCAAAGGCTAAGAGGTCCCGTAGAAGCCCCAAGGAGCTCTCGAAGAGGCACCCAAGAGGCCCCAGCAAGCCCCCACGAGGCCCCAGAGCGTCCTCAAGAGGCTCTTCAGAGGCCCCCACGAGGCTCTCAGGAGGCCACCAGGAGGCCCCAAGGGGGCCCCAAGAGGCCTCATCTCCCGCCTCCTCCTCCTCCTTTTCCTCCAGCTCGTCCTCCTTCCTCTTTCTTTCCCCAATGCTCCCCCAAGAGGGTCCCAAATGTTCCCAAATCTGTCTCTCCTTCTCCTCCTTCCTCCTCCTCCTCCAGCTCGTCCTCCCTTTCCTCCCTCTCCTCCGCCTTCCTCTCCCTCTCCCGGGTGGTTCCCCCAAGAGGGTTCCCAGGGTGGCCGGGGGAGCACATCGTCCAGCAGCCCGGACAGGCCCCGGCCCGACGTCTGGCCGCGTGGGCGCTCCGATAAGGCAGGAGCGGCGGTGGCGACGGACGCCCCGGGAAGACCACGACGCTGGCCCCTGTCGCCGAGGTCGGGCGGGTGCTGCACGGAGGGGTGGCCCTCACGGGGGGCGAGGAGAGGGGCCCCGAAGGTGCCCTTCGGGGCCCCTTCTGAAGCCAGCAGGGGCCCCCAGAGGAGCCCCAAACGGCCCCTCTGGGGCCCGTCTCTCTTCCCCTCCCATTTGGGCCACCCCGCATGGGCTTGTCGGGCATGTCCTCCTCCAGGCGGATTTTGGAAGACACATGAAACATGACAACACAATTGTCAAACAATAGTCAAACAATCTTCTCCGAACTATTTTTCTATAATTCTTGAATTTTCTTCCTGTAGAGGGACCTGCCCGACTTAACATTAGCACTCGCCCGACAATTTCAGCACCCTCCGCTCCACGGACCCACGTGGTGACCGCCCGGTGCTACCCATTAGTGGCGGATCGCCCCCTCGCCATCAGGGATCCATTCGTTTCTCTGACGTCGACCGTGTTCGCGATTCTCGTCGCTCACCCTGGCCACGACAGGATGCGATGCTGGAGGCGTGCGTACGCTCGAGGAGCAACACAACGGCACAAACACAAACTTCTCGTGGTCCGCGCGGATTTCTTGGACTTGCGCTGGCCCCCTCTCTGGCGCGCGGAGCGCGCCAAGGCGCCGCCGAGGGGGGGGGCCAGCGCGGATCCAAGAGATCCGCGCGGAGCGGCACAAATTTATGTTCGTGCCGTTTCTGTTTCTTCTCCGACACGTGGAACAACTGAGCGCTAGGCGGAGGAGGAGGAGGAGGAGGAGGAGGAGGAGGAGGAGGAGGAGGAGGAGGAGGAGGAGGAGGAGGAGGAGGAGGAGGAGGAGGAGGAGGAGGGAGGAGGAGGAGGAGGAGGAGGAGGAGGAGGAGGATAGGAGGAGGAGGAGGAGGAGGAGGCTACTGCGTGTTGCTGCGGCGTGCTCGCTGCCCCTGCCTGCCGCATTCGGCCTGCTGGTGCCCTTCTGCCGCTTCTCGCTGCTGCCGGCTGCAAGTGACTGCCGCGGGCTCTGCTGCTGCTCTTGCTGGGGCGTGTTGGGGCGCTGAGGCGGACTCTCTGGGCCCCCCAGGCCGAGCCATCCGGGCTCCTGGGGCCCTCGCCACTGGCACTGGACACTGGACGACTCGGCCCTGTGAGGAGGGAAGGGAGCATTGAACCCAGCGCCTGCTCAAAATTAGCCTGACGAGGGACCCAACCATATGCAGGTGTGAGTACCGCAATAGTGATTCACTTTTTCGGTGGCGATCCGTACGAGACAACGAACCGTGCTAGGGGTGTACCGAAATTAATGGCGTGGTACACAGCGCGAACGAAAACGATTGATCTGAATACGTAGGGAGAGTGAGCGCGGGCCAATCTGAGCGCGAGCGCGTCTGACTGTGAATGAATCTGCGTGTGAGCGAGTCTACGTGCGTGGATGCGAGTATGACAAAGCATGGTGCAATTGTATATGAATGTCAATACTTTGACAATGACTGCCTCTGAATACTCGTGACGCTGGGCGTGGCCGCCGCAAGGAGCTTTCCCGGGACTCCCCGGCGGCATCGCCCGCGCGCCGCGACGCCATTGTCGGCGCGCCCCCCCGCGAGGATCGCGCCCGCTTCCTCCCTTTCTTTTACTCCCTCTTTGCCCGCGCACTCAAAAGTCCAAGGCTGCGGGCGCAACGCAGCGCGGAGTCCCCGCGACGCGCGCAGGTCGCCCCGGAGGGGTCCCAGCGACGCGCGCGAGTCGTCCGTTGCGCGGAGCAAAGAGAGCTAGCTGGCTGGCTGATAGCGGGCAAGGCTCTTGCCGCTGGGCAAAGCGACGACAGGCGAGCGAGGCGCTGGGCATAACGCAGCACGGAGCCCCCGCGACGCGCGCTGGTCGCCCCGGAGGGGTCCCAGCGACGCGCGCGGGTCGTCCGCTGCGCGGAGCAAAGGGAGCTAGCTGGCTGGCTGGGACCTTCGGTGGGGCTCCATATGGGGCGACGAAGCGCTGTACTGGGTGAGGGAGACGCATGCGGACTGCGCCACGGGGACCTTCGGTGGAGTTCCCTATGGGGCCACGAAACGTGTGAGAGGTGTGCTGAAATGAGTGGCAGGGACGCATGCGGACTGTGCCACGGAGACCTTCGGCGGAACTCCGATGGGGCCACGAAGCGTGTGAGGGGTGTGCCGAAGTGGGTGTGCGGGACGCATGCGGACTGTGCCACGGGGACCTTCGGCGGAGCTCCTATGGGGCCACGAAACGTGTTAGGGGTGTGCCGAAATGGGTGTGCAGGACGCACGCGGACTGCGCCACGGAGACCTTCGGTGGAGTTCCTATGGGGCCACGAAGCGTGTGAAAAGTGAACCGAAATGGATGGCCGGGGCGCATGCGGACTGTGCCACTGGGCCCTTCGGCGGAGCTCCTATGGGGCCACGAAACGTGTGAGGGGTGTGCCGAAATGGGTGTGCGGGACGCATGCGGACTGTGCCGCGGGGACCTTCGGCGGAGCTCCTATGGGGCCACGAAGCGTGTGAGGGGTGTGCCGACATGATTGGCGGGGACGCATGTGGACTGTGCAACGGAGACCTTTGGCGGAGCTCCTGTGGGGCCACGAACCGTGTGAGGGGTGTGCCGAAATGAGTGGCGGGGACGCATGCGGACTGTGCCACTGGGACCTTCGGCGGAGCTCCCATGGGGCCACGAAACATGTGAGGGGTGTGCCGACATGAATGGCGGGGACGCATGCGGACTGTGCCACGGAGACCTTCGGCGGAGCTCCTGTGGGGCCACGAAACGTTTGAGGGGTGTGCCGAAATGGGTGTGCGGGGACGCATGCGGACTGTCCCACATGGGCCTTTGGCGCAGCCCCTATTGGGCCACGAAGCGCGTGAGGGGTGTGCCGAAATGGGTGTGCGGGGACGCATGCGGACTGTCCCACAGGGGCCTTCGGCGCAGCCCCTATGGGGCCACGAAACGTGTGAGGGGTGTGCCGAAATGGGTGTGCGGGGACGCATGCGGACTGTGCCACTTGGACCTTCGGCGGAGCTCCCTATGGGGCCACGAAACGTGTGAGGGGTGTGCCGAAATGGGTGTGCGGGACGCATGCGGGCACACCCACAGGGACCTTCGGTGGAGCTCCCTATGGGGCCACAAAACGTGTGAGGGGTGTGCCGAAATGGGTGTGCGGGACGCATGCGGACCTTCGGTGGAGCTCCCTATGGGGCCACGAAACGTGTGAGGGGTGTGCCGAAATGGGTGTGCGGGACGCATGCGGGCACACCCACTGGGACCTTCGGCGGAGCTCCCTATGGGGCCACGAAACGTGTGAGTGGTATGCCGAAATGGGTGCGGGACGCATGCGGGCACACCCACTGGGACCTTCGGTGGAGCTCCCCTATGGCGGCCACGAAGCGTGTGCCGAAGGGGTGGGTGAAGTGGTGTGTGCCGAAATGGGTGTGCGGGACGCATGCGGCACACCCACTGGGACCTTCGGTGGAGCTCCCTATGGGGCCACGAAACGTGTGAGGGGTGTGCCGAAATGGGTGTGCGGGACGCATGCGGGCACACCCACTGGGACCTTCGGTGGAGCTCCCTATGGGGCCACGAAACGTGTGAGGGGTGTGCCGAAATGGGTGTGCGGGACGCATGCGGGCACACCCACTGGGACCTTCGGTGGAGCTCCCTATGGGGCCACGAAACGTGTGAGGGGTGTGCCGAAATGGGTGTGCGGGACGCATGCGGGCACACCCACTGGGACCTTCGGTGGAGCTCCCTATGGGGCCACGAAACGTGTGAGGGGTGTGCCGAAATGGGTGTGGGACGCATGCGGGCACCCCACTGGGACCTTCGGTGGAGCTCCCTATGGGGCCACGAAACGTGTGAGGGGTGTGCCGAAATGGGTGTGCGGGACGCATGCGGGCACACCCACTGGGACCTTCGGCGGAGCTCCCTATGGGGCCACGAAGCGTGTGAGGGGTGTGCCGAAATGGGTGTGCGGGACGCATGCGGGCACACCCACTGGGAGGGGGGCGGCGGGAGGAAGGTGGGAACGCGGGGCGCTGTCTCTTCAAAACGAGGACCCGACACCACAGGATGGTTGGGAAATATTGGGCATCCATGCTGACATCAAGCTGGCAACCTGTGTCCAACAAAAGGCGCAACCTCCTGACGTCAAACGGCGGATAACCCCTGGGTGGGGAGCCTGCACGGGCGCCCAATCCAGCCAGGCTTACGGGCTGACCAACGGACGACAACGGCCAACGACTGCCGATGCTGCCAGGGAGCAGGTCAATAATTCAAGCAGATTTGATCCTCGTGCCCGCAAGCAGCAGCAGGGGGGCAGGGCGAAATCCTCCCGAGAGATCATTCTGGGAAGGGCAAGCGCATGCGCAACGCGCAGACTGGAACGTGGCCCTCTTAATGAGCCCTACGGCTGCTGTCGGAGTGCCTGTGCCACTGCTCTTTCACACCCTGACGAGATTCATACCCGCCACGGTCACTCCGCTCGTGTCGCCCTCCCTGTCTTGCACTCTCTTCCTCCTTCACCCCGTCGGTCTTCCCTTCTCGTTCTTCGCCCTCGCTCTCGCCTCTCGCCATCCCCTTCCTCGACCTCCCAAACACAATTGTACCCAACTCTGTGGTGTGTGTGTATCTCTCTCTCTCTCTCCTTCTTTCTCTCGCCCCCATCTGTATACACACATATATCTATATAAACAATTATGTATGCATGTATACCGGTGAACACACCTATATGTGTACTGTGCTTTTCTCTCTCTCTCTCTCTCGCTCTCTCCCTCTCTCTTTCGCCATCTCGCTCGCCCTCGCGCTCTCCCTTCCCCTGTCTCATCTCCTGGCCTCTACACCCAACTCATGCGAACAGCCCGCGTGCCGGCAGAAACGACGACGGGGAGGTAGAAGGAGAAGGGCAGTTTTCCGCTGCAGGCTCTGCTTTCTCGGTCTATGGAACGCACGCTCTGAAGGATCGGCTACACGCAAGAATGACCC